ATGTCGCGGTCGTCGAAAATACAGGCGATTCTTGTTTTGGATGGAGGGGAAGAGAGGTGGACGGGAGGTGAGGGTTGAGATTCTTTCAGGGTGAACTCATCGGGTTACCCCCTGACTTCTGTTTTTTCCTTCCATAACTAATCTCCAGTTCAGGAGGCTGAGGTTTCTGCAAAAACTGTTTTCATCTTTGATGAAGTATTTTAATTTGGGGAGAGTATGTGAGCGTGACATGAGTTGAAACGGGGGAAAAAACTTAAGGCAAATGGTTAATAATTCAATAGTTCAGGGCTCCACTTTACAGATAATCAAAAAAGGTCACTTAGTGAAACACGGAAATGTCTTAAAGTATTTGTTATCAAAATAATGTTGCCTATTGGCCTATATTAAATGTATATATTACATTAAGGTTTATCTTAAAGGTTTATACCAGCATCATTCATGGGCCTATACCAGGAGTCTTCAACCTTTTCTAGCATGACAGCTACTTTTAAAAAAAATGAAATATGTCTCCAGCTACTCATTTTTTTCTTGCTTTCAAATAGGCACATTCTTCTCGTCTCCTCTCCCCTGCAACTCTACCCCAGGTCCTTAGTATAAATGAAAAAGTGCACTGTTTTCTGTCAATATACCTGGTAAAATAATGGTTAATTAACAACTCTAAGGGGGGCCCTATAAAATCTAATTTTCCCTCAAATGATGTTTTCTCAGTTTTATTTATCTTGGTTTTAGATTTGTTTTATTTTTCACTCTCAAAATTACAATTTGTCATAGAGAAACAACAAACAGGATGTTCTGAGTCCATGTCAATGCTTAAATCACACCTGAAGACCTTTTTTTTTCGGTCTGGAAGAAAACCAACACATTTTGAATTTGTAGTGTAATTCCCCCATTTAATTGTGCATCTAGCTAGTGAGGAATATGCCATCTAATGTGCCTGTCAAGCTACATTTACATTTACATTTTAGTCATTTAGCAGACGCTCTTATCCAGAGCGACTTACAGTTAGTGAATACATATTTTTTTTATACTGGCCCCCCGTGGGAATCGAACCCACAACCCTGGCGTTGCAAACGCCATGCTCTATCAACTGAGCTACATCCCTGCCGGCCATTCCCTCCCCTACCCTGGACGACGCTGGGCCAATTGTGCGCCGCCCATGAGTCTCCTGGTCGCGGCCGGCAGCGACAGAGCCTGGATTCGAACCAGGATCTCTAGTAGCACAGTTAGCACTAGCGATGCAGTGCCTTAGACCACTGCGCCACTCAGGAGTAAAGCTATGGTTCTGTACTGCTGCTCAGTTCATGGCAAAGTTAGCAAATAACAAATAATAGATACAAATGATATACTTCTACCAGGTAAGCCTACTTTGCAGTTAACATATAATTGAGAAGGTTTTCGGGAAAGTATTTCTGTCAACCCACAAGACGGTTATCACATCAACTGGCTACACAAGGAGTGGTAGACTACCGCGCATCACACAGACAGACAGGGGCATTATTCCTGGAAATTAATTAGCAGATATTGTGAGAAAACATCATTTGAGGTTTGGCTTTTTAAGCCAATAGTGGCTAACCAGGGGTGGGTTAATGTCAATGTTGATTAGATAGAAGCTGGGAGCTTGCGGTGTCTTATACTTGTGAGATTTGTTTATGACATTTTGTGGTGAAACACGTGAAAATTGCATGTACTTTCAGAATTGTTTGGTGAGCTACTCATTTGTGGGCAGCGAGCTACCTGTTGGACACCCCTGGCCTATACAATGGCCTGTTTGGACAACTAGGTATACCATAATAGGCCTATAGCCTCTTCGTCATTCTGTGACGATGTGCATGCCACTGCGGGGATCAGCGGCCGGATCAAAGCTCTGCAGAAGGAGTACAGGGGGGGGGGGGGGGGGGGGGGGGGCACAGGACAAACGGCCAAACAGCAGGATTAAAATTAGCACCAACTGCACCACAGATGGTCACAAGGGCACTTCATTGCCACTGTGTAGATCCACAGTACTATCATGCATGATTTTATGTAACATTATAATGTATATATTACAATGGAGCCTGTGCTTTAAAGTAAGTTGTTGTGATCTTACTCTTCACACTATAACGTTATGGCCTCTCTAAAAGTTTACATTAAAAGCAATAGTTGGTGCATTGTCTATAAAAACTCCTATATCACCTATTTTGCGGAATAACTAGTCTACTTATGTCACTAATTAAAAAATAATATAAACACACTATGTCCAGAAAGAACCATGCTGTTGAGTATTATAGTTGTCAACCATGAAAGAAGCTCAGCAACTGTCAAATAAACCCTCCCACCATCGGTAGATATAGGTTTAAGTCATTTATCAGTTGATAGTTTTAAGTTATTAGGTTAAGTGGAAGCATTGAATTGATGCTGCAGCGGTTCGTTTTAAGGCTACTACAGTTTACATCTGTACCTTTAAGGCCACTGTGTGTGTGTGTGTGTGGGGGGGGGGGGGGGGGGGGGCTACTACAGTTTACATCCGTACCTTTAAGGCCACTGTGTGTGTGGTGTGGGGGGGGGGGGGGGGGGGGCTTTCACCAATCCCCAGTGGCAGAGAAGAGCTGATGATTGAGCTTGACACACACAGTCAAAAAAGAACCCCCACATTCCTATTCAAATGTAACTGCTAATGAAAGTGCAGTGTTTAAAATAGCCAAACATGGTAACTAATACAACTTTTTAACGTTTTTTTTAATTACAAATATAGTGGTCTGTATTACCACAATGTTATGATGTACCTGCATGGTACTAATAATTGAAATAGCATCTAGTGTGTTCTATGTAGGCCTAATTATCATACACCTGGCTTATTATCAGAAGATTGTTTAGTGAACAGTCTTGCCGTCGGCTAATGGCGTTATACATAAATCTAGGTGGCCATCTACACCTGTATATGACTCTATTTTATTCCCAGTTGTAGTCTGTTTTAGTCTTCACCTGCTATAGGGACATGCATGGGGACAACAGTGTCATAGCTGTTGATGAGACCGAAAGAGAGACGCTCCTTGATGGACAAACAACACTGCTCGATAAAGAATGCGGTTTTTTTTCGTTAGTTATCTCTCCAAACCATTAAGGGTGTGTTTCAGAGAATGTCATACACAGTGCAAAGTTCGTACCCGTTTGTTTTGAGCCTATACGTAGAGTGTGAGGTAGAGAGAGACTTGGGGAGGGGAGAGTGTGTTTACATGTTTAGAGGCGTCCATAGGTAAAAAGGTCAGCGCGAGCCACCCGGAATGCACCGCAGCATTCCACACCCCACGCAACGTGCAGGGCAACACTATTGGGCTTGTAGGGTTAGTTTCGTAAGTTCCACGGGGGTCAAACCAAGATCCCGTGTAGCTCAGTTGGTAGAGCATGGCGTTTGCAACGCCAGGGTTGTGGGTTCGATTCCCACGGGGGGGCAGTATGAATAATGTATGCACTAACTGTAAGTCGCTCTGGATAAGAGCGTCTGCTAAATGACTAAAAGGTATGCGTGCTGTACTTTGTAATACCATTGAAATACTTTAGAATCTGTTTGTCACTTGTGTGATGTACCAGCTATCACATATTTTGGAACAAAACTCATTCAAAAAATCGACCATGGCAACAAATAGGTTATAGGCTGCTCTAGGCCCTGGTTCATGCTGCGTATTTGCATAGGCCTCATGGAATATAGATATATTTTTACAATTAAGATAATTATAAATGCACGTTATCTACCATAAATTATAATAAAACTAACAACAAAATCTGCAATATCTTATTTTTATTTGAGGTAGACAGAGATGAACCAGCATTGATTGAGATCCTTTCCAAAAACATGTAAAACAGACATAAACTAATACAACTCAGTCGGTCTGCAGATACAAATAATACAATACACTCCTATTGCCTTGAAATAGAAATCTGGGCCTAACCTTCGTAAATCAAACTAACCTCAGAATACCCTGTTTTTCGCAAGACACTAGCCTATTATCAAAACGTTTGACTCCATACTTGAAAAGTTACCGCATATTTATCCAAAAAGGCCCAATTCAAAAGTATATTGTCGAGTTGGTTTCACTCAGGCAGGTGTTAAAAGTTGCAATAACTTTCGTTTTAGTTGTATGACATGATAAACGTTTTCTATCCTCTGGCCATTTAATAATATAAATACTCCCTCTAATCATCATTCGTCATTTTGGATAACGTCATCTTGCGTGAACCATTCCCTGTATAGGTTTAGTTCACGTCTCCTATTTAGACAATAACAATAGGCTGTACAGACATGTGTTAACATTACTAGAGTGAATATCATTGGGTAATCCACCGGCTCGTGTTTAAATTAGTAATTTCACTGTATATTTCAATTAAAGAACATCTGCCAAGTCACACAAAACTTCCCGTGTAAAGTAATACCCTGTAATTCTATAGTGCAAAGAGTCAGTAACACATGAACCCTTTCTACCTCACTTACTGACGGTAAAGTTGCTTCATGTCAAAACCTCTATACAAAAAAAAGAAGAAGAACCAAAAAAATACATTCCAAAAAACACTACAAAATAGAAACAAATTCAACAATACTATAATGTTTTGCCAAGAGGCTCCCTGTATAAACATTATTATAAGGCTCACTTTGAGATTTGTAAACATGCAAAAGTGCATCACTCCAATAGTCGTGGGTATGAAGATTTACGACCCTGTACATCCAAACAGATTTTGTGGGGTGGAAAGAAACGTCTAGTCTAGAAAGATGTTGCGCCCATCATCCACAGTTGTGCTTTTGTCACCTCGTTTTTTCTCCCTCGAAATGTGCGTTGCGAAGTAATTATTTTAGTTTAAATCATATAAAAATGAACTCCTCTTACAGACGCATTGCATAACGAGTGGAATAGCCTATTCAAGCTTGGATAGGAATGTTTTGACTTATTATCAATCAATTAACTTTTTCTTCCCATTCGAGTTCATCACTTTGAAGTTTAGTGCCTACAAGTTGCAGTTTATTTGGTCCATTAGGTCTCCGAACTGGGAGACGCGCCAGGAGATATGGAGCTGGAATGGTCGGAGTTGTCTTCCAGGTCCTTGGAGGAACCCGTACTCGAGGCCGGGGCCAGGCCCTCTTTCTCGCGCTTCTTCTGTTTCATCCTGCGGTTCTGGAACCAGATTTTCACCTGCGTTTCGTTGAGCTCGAGGGTGGCAGCGATTTCCACGCGCCTGGCCCGGGTCAAGTACTTGCTGAAGTGAAACTCCTTCTCGAGCTCGGTCAGCTGTTTGGTTGTAAAGTTGGTGCGGATGGTGTTCTGAGGTCCCATTCCATAGTCAGCCACTTTAGCTGTGAAAAAAGAGAGGGAAAGGGGGGGGACGCATTAGAATGTGGAATAGATTGTATGCCTACAATATGGAAATTGTATGTGTAAAATATGAAAATTGTCATATATTCGAAGTCATATTAAATTCACCAATCCATCGTTCTATTGTTAAGCTCCTAAAGAAAAAAAGTGTGATTTGACATCAATACCGCATAAATCATCCTTAATGATTAAAATATTTTTTGGGAATGAAGATTGGATAATGTGATACTAAAGGGGTCATCAATTACGCGCCCAACCATTTCAAGTCCCAAACTGTTGACTACTGTATATAGGCATGTTCACAGACCCAACCTCCTACTTATTTTCCCATTACTCACTCCTGAAGAATGAAATAAAGCTGCCCTACGTTGGGGGAGATATAAACGCATATGATACGTGTAATTCCATATTCCGACCTTAATATTTAAAGATATTTGCCCACAGTACTAGGCCTACTGAGTGAGGTTGAAACGTGGGTCGGGCACTCAATTCAGACGAGCCAAGCATTACGAGGAAGGAAAGGCTGGGGAATATAAAAGGCCAACAAAAACGAATGGAGCCAACCGAGAACTGGGACAAGTCAAAGATAACAGAGTTGGGTCACTTCCTAGGGCGTAAGAAAGCAGGTCTGCTCGATGCATTAGTGCACGGGCTGAGTAGACGGTGAGAAAATAACAGGCATATATCAGGCAAATCTTCCAGAGGCATGTCTGGTCAGAGATACCACTATGACCCGGAATGGTGCTGAGAAATCCCCATATGTTGTGGATCAGAGATAGTGGAGTGAGGCAACACTATCCTCAGTCCTCAGTCATGTCCCTTATGGGCTGGAGAGTGCATGTGCATTTGCATACCACATCCATTAGCCTACCTGAGCGGTGGGTCGACATGTCTGGGTCACCTGGTTTACTTGTAATGAACTTTGAATTACCTTATCTGACAAGAACGTTTCGATTTCGTGCATGGGTCAGTGTGATTATATTTGGACTCTCCCATCTCACCTGTTTTAGGGGGGTTCCTCTTGACTTTCATCCAGTCGAAAGTCTTTCCTTGTGTGTTTGCTCTGCGTCCTTCTCCCTCTCCTGAGAGGCCGAAATGTCAACATAGGTGCTCTGCAAATAACCCCGCTGGTGGTCCTGGCCCTCGCAGCCGTGGTGCTGGTACTGTGCGGCGGGGACAGCCCCCTGCGCCCCGCAGTATGCCCCGGCCAGAGAGCCGTAATTAGGGGCCTATATTGGAGGCGGAAAGGCCCGATGATTGATAATACATCCCGTCCTGCTCGTTGATAAAGTACTGTGGGTGTCCATAGTCCGGGTTTGGCGCACGCCTGCGTCCCATATCCCGTAGTCCCTGTACTGCCATATGGAAGGCCCATGCTGGCATGATGCGGCTGGGGCTGATGATGATGCGCGTAGCTACTGCTCTGGTGCTGATGTTGGGCCACCGCCGCCTGGGCGCTGCCCCCCACGCAAAGCCGTTCCATCACCGTTAAAGCTGTCACTTGTTGTGCCCGAGCCCGAGTGAAAAGGGGCCGGGAAGCCTTGGTCCAAGTGGTGGTATTCGGACTTGGGTGAGTAGGCGTTCGTCCCACGGTTACAAATTGAGTACTCTAAGAAAGAGTTCATTCTGGAATTCTCCATGCGGCAATTGATGACGGAGGGTGAACCTGCGTTTCAGGGGATTCCTCCTACCCTGCAACCTCTCGGTATGTCATGTGGAAGGGGAAAAAAGAAGAGCTCACCTCCCCGAGCAGTCACCCTGGGATTCCCTATAACACTTTTTTTTTTACCTCAGCTGCGGGTCACGTGAGCGGTCACGGCGCCAATGGTGAGGGGGACCTCCAGAAGTTTGTCAGCGCACCGCGATCATCGATCAAGCGGCCTACATTTGCATGACAAAGCCACTTCAATCAAACCGGCCCATCAATCTGATAACAGCACGTATATGTCAAACCCCTCTGAAGGAACCTCTCCCGAACCGGCAGAGAAAGAAATAAAGAAATTCGCTTCTCCACTATTCTTGGATTCCCTATACTTCCTTAAAAAAGTGTAGAAGTCCATTTGGTTAGGCCTATCAGATAGTTGAGCTAGGGTGAGGCCCCCTGTAGCTCAGTTGGTAGAGCATAGCGCTTGCAACGCCAGGGTTGTGGGTTCGATTCTCACGGGGGGCCAGTATGAAAAATGTATGCACTCACTAAAACTGTAAGTCGCTCTGCATAAGAGCGTCTGCTAAATGACTAAAATGTGAGAGTTGGATGCTCATTGCTACAACTAAATACATAATATCCACTGTATTCCATGCCCGCATTACACAAAGAGGACTGCGTAATGTCATTAGTTATTTCTGGCCCAAGCGAAAAGGGCTCACCACAGAACCTAATATCTGTTTAACACTCGGATTGGAAGTGACGACATCGTTTTCAGATCGGTCCGGAGCCTCCATTGGCCTATCTAATTGAATCAATGAGCTGATCTATTACAGAAACGAGGTTAGGCCGACAGCAAGCCTTCTGCTAACTCCGGACCAGCAGAAAGAAGTCAGGATATTTCTCACTGATACGAAGAGTCCTTAGTATGTACAGTTTCATAACTGTTGAATGGAACTTTCTGTTCTATATTCTGAACTAACATGACTTTGCAATTTATGGAAGGCGGAAGAAGTATTACTGAGCATAATTAAGAGGCATTCAACTTGTGTTGAAATATGATATATTTTGTCATCCACATTCCACAACAACCAGGACCCCATCAATAGTGTAATGAATGAGTTGTCTAGACCAGTGGTTAACAAGCGTAGGTGAAAAAATAGGAAATGGCAAAGGCTAATTATTAATTGTGGTGACAATAGGTAAGAAAGTCTGCCTGTTCATGAAGCAGCCCACGCTCAAAGGAGGGAGACTGAAGAATCTCCTATATATTTGCTCGTTGATACATGGTGAACAAGAGGGACAAACAATATGACGCCCACAGTAATTTGTTACTTGTCAGGATGTTTACTGTTGGGCTCGCATCCATGAGAACGGGATGGTTGCATTGCGCGGCCAAAAGTTCAAACCAAGTAGCTTGTTGTTTACCTTGGCGATATCTTTTCTCTCTTAAGAGTACTCCAACCTTTTAGCTACCACCCCTCAAATGTAGTTATCGGTTTAGTAGAGCCAACCTATAGAGTGTCATTCGATATGCTGCCTCACTGCAAAAGTAGTCCTAGTTTTCTCAATATTATTAATGGGTTATGTAGTCTATCTTTATAGGTTTAGTAGTCTACTCAGTTTACAATCATTTTGTCATTGACTATATCGGAAACATTCAGTATTTTGGTTAACCTCAGCATGTTTCTTCAGAAAACATTGATTGCAAGCAAGTCAACCAGGCCTGGTATTTCTCAGGAGAAAACCTCATCTCAACCCTCAACCTGCTTACCCCCACCATCCCCTCACACACACACACACACACACACACACACACACACACACACACACACACACACACACACACACCCACACACCAACACACTGCCCCTGACGAGTGACCCATATCATTAGTTGAGGAGCGTTGTAACGCCTTAATAACAACAATATAATAATGTGCTATCTTGCATTTGCATTCTTGTTTCAGTTGGAGTTTTAAACTAGAGCTTAATACGTTTATTGACTCTAAAAACGGCTGTTCTTATTCTAAATAGCTATGTTTTTATAACTCACAATTTATCTTTGTTTTTTCAATGCAAAACATAGGCTGGATTACATTATATTCGTTATCGAACTGTGAAAGACGTCAACTCTAATCTGTGATGTTGTCTTTTTCACTAAAATAATATGATATGAAATATTATTATTTTTAAACTAGCCATGCATTAAAGTCAATCAAATGCATACATGTCTATCCTTCACTTTAACATAAAACATTACTTATTTTTTTATCCGAATTTCTTTGGCAAAGTTATTCAAACTGGCAATGAAAAAGGTAAAAACCTCCAAATGCTATTCAATCTACCAATGAGCAGCCTGAAAAACGTTTTAAAAGCTAGGTGTAAACGAAATTACCCGCATTAGGCTGTGTTTGTTTGTGGTTATAGCAGGCCTATTGTTACATGGTAACTTTCAATAAATACTAACAATTGTTAACATACAACAAAAATGTGAAAATAAAATAAAAAGCAATAGCCTACAATCATTTAGAAATAACATTACAAGTTGTTTAATAGACTATGCTCCAGATAAAACTAAATAGCTATGTGAAACGTTTTTTAAATATTCATTAACTTTGGAAATTGTTATTGCTATTTTCCCATTGGATGGACAATTTTCCCATTGGATGGACTTTATGCTCTGACGCATTTGACTATGCATAGGCTATGAATTCCTTCGATCATTTGTGTTCATTCATTTACGAAAATACTTTGTTGGATCATTGAAAAACAATTTTTAACAGCTAATATGCTCTCCAATGTATCAACGTTTGTGAGTTTATAATAAACATATACTTTTCCTAAGCACAATCAGGAATTTACATGGGAAACTCTTACAAGCCATTGAGGAAACATTAGGCTTCATTTCTGCTGTAAACAAACTGTTGTGGCAAAATCACCAGTTAGCTGCAAGGTTAACAAAAGGTCACCGAGAAAGAAATCTTAATCCATCTAAAGATTAATTCAAATGCAAATGTTAACAGGGATTAGAATGGAACCCTCTGATCATTGCCCCCTTCTTAACACTTCACCACGTGTAATCCCTTTACAGCAAACTGCTAACAAATAGAACAGATAGCGCCATACACGCAAATGGTAATGACGCTAGTAGGATCCACCTAGTGGTACGACGAGGTAACAACAACTCAGGGAGTTCGATTTCTTCTTCTAGGCGATGTTTTTTCAGCGTCCCATTCCAGCTTGTCTTATCTGTTCAGGAGCGTAAAAGTTATAATAATATAATATGCCATTTAGCAGACGCTTTTATCCAAAGCGACTTACAGTCATGCGTGCATACATTTTTTGTGTATGGGTGGTCCCGGGGATCGAACCCACTACCTTGGCGTTACAAGCGCCGTGCTCTACCAGCTGAGCTACAGAGGACCCACTCGAAACGATAACATTTTATGAAACATTGTACATTAATCCACTTTGATTGAACCGTCTGTAATCATAATTACACTATCATGACAATAGTAGGCCATATTACATTTTGGTCATTTAGCAGACGCTCTTATCCAGAGCGACTTACAGTTAGTGAGTGCATACATTTTTCATACTGGCCCCCCCGTGGGAATCGAACCCACAACCCTGGCGTTCCAAGAGCCATGCTCTACCAACTGAGCTACAGGAGGGCTGCGAGGGAGGATAATAGCAAACGGAAAAAGATAAACAATAAATATGGCAACAATATTAATATAATTGCATTGATAGCCCAGTGGATAAAAAAAAAAAGCAATACTAGAATGTGGAGAAAGTACTGTAAATATCACCCTTTCTGTTGTGTTTTTAATATGATTCTCTTGCATAAACTCAAACCAGTTTTTTCCCCTTTAGTTGGTCTACTGCTCAGCGCAAGATTCCAGGGCTGACTCTAGATAAGGAACACTTAGGCCCTAAGTGTAAAGAGGAATCTTTGAGAATGAGTCAGGAATTCCTATAAAACTTTCTATTGAAGCTGAAGCATAGACCCTGAAACCTCTTCATTTTCCCAGACCACCACGCTCACATGATAAGTAACTTTGTTTGAGACCTGTGAAGACTTATGTTGGCTCCCTGAGCTTCAGCTTAGCAGGTCAACACTGTTTGGTTGCACATAGGAGACCTGGGTTTGTCACATTGGTGTCGTGGTTCGTGTGAATCCTTGTGACGAGGAGGGGGGTCAAAGGGGGGCAAACGTAGCTGAGGAGGTTCAGAACACCCGCTTGGGTTATTTGCAGTGTACACTCTGGATCTGAATGTGGCCTTCTATGCTGCCCGTGGGTACTTGTCTGATGCCCAAAGCAGGCTGTGCCCTGATATTTTGTTAGCTGACTTGAATCATACAGTACCAGTCAAATGTTTGGACACACCTACTCATTCAAGGGCTTTTCTTTATTTTTACTATTTTCTACATTGTAGAATAATAGTGAAGACATCAAAACTATGAAATAACACATCATGTAGTAACCAAAAAAAGTGTTAAACAAATCAAAATATATTTTATATTTGAGGTTCTTCAAATAGCCCCCCTTTTGCCTTGATGACAGCTTTGCACACTCTTTGCATTCTCTCAACCAGCTTCACCTGGAATGCTTTTCCAACAGTCTTGAAGGAGTTCCCACATATGCTGAGCATTTGTTGGCTGCTTTTCCTTCACTCTGCCGTCCGACTCATTCCCAAACCATCTCCATTGGCAGGTATCTTCTTCTTATTGGTGTTCTTTAGTAGTGGTTTCTTTGTAACAATTCAACCAGGAAGGCCGGATTCACACAGTCCCCTCTGAACAGTTGATGTTGAGATGTGTGTGTTACTTGT